CCAAAGAGGACACATAAAACTTTGAGTTAAGTCTTAAAGCATGAATTTAAATTTGCCAGGAAGTGAAAAGTTCCTTTGTAAAAGGTACCAGCAAAAAAATATGATATCATTTCAGGGGACAAGAGATGGTTTGTTGTTGCTAACTATAGAGTCTTTGGACTGTGTTGTCTTAGTATTAATCTCTTAGAGTAATAATTTTCAGCTCAAAAAGGACTTTGTGTACTATTTTGAAGATCTTGAATTTTTATATTTTAGTCAGCATAACATGAGAGTGAGTTAACTGTATCTGCATTTTAGCAAACATTTTCACAGTGATTTACAAAATAGATTAGAAAGGCTGAAGGAAGAAAGATCTGGTTCTTAGTGAGAACCAGAACTAGAGCACTGATGATTCAGAGGAGGGTAGAGCATGGAATTTATGAAGACTTTCAGAGAGAATTGATGAGATGGATGAACCACTAGAGCTGGATGATGAAAGAAGAGGAATAATTAAGGATGATTCCAAGTTTCTTTTAAGTATGATCCATTGGGAAACAATTCCAGAGATTAGGAAATACTGAAGGAGAAGCTGTGTTTTGGTCTCTTCTGTCATGGGTAGGGTGAATCACAGGTTGATTGGGAGGATGATGAATAAGAGAATGAAAAAGAATGAAATCGGTTCCAGAAGTCTGAGTTTTGCAGCTGAAGGTATTGAAGTGTAAATGTTTAGTAGGCAGTTGGAAATAATTGGAGTGAAGTTAAGGTGGTGGATTTGATAATCACTGACTAATTTATAGAAGTAGGTTGAGGACCAGCCTGGCAACATGATGAAACCCCGTTTCTACTAAAATACAAAAAATTAGCTGGGCATGGCGGCGTGCGCCGGTAGTCCCAGCTACTCAGGAGGTTGAGGCAGGAGAATTGCTTGAACCCGGAAGGCGGAGGTTGCAGTGACCTGAGATGGCGCCACTGCACTCCAGGCTGGGCAACAGAACGAGACTCCATCTCAAAATAAAAAAAAGAAAAAGAACATAGGTTGAGGCCACGGGTCTGGATTCGTGCTCTGAAGTGACAACAAAAGGTAGAGTGCAGAGGCTTAAGGAAGACCTCCAGTATTTTCAGGGTTACGTGGAAGAAGAGGAGTTGGTTGTCATAGAATTAAGACATCAAAGAGATAGTTGTAGCCTGACAAAGCCAGAAGAGATTATTTTCAAGGAGGTTGTAGGCTGATACATTATATAGATATAGTTTATGGGCACGAATATATTTATCTTCAATAAATTGTGCTGGGAAAACTAGATAGCCATGTGCAGGAATAAATTAGACCCCTGTCTCTCACCATATACAAAAATCAGCTCAAAATGGGTGAAATACTTTGGTCTTTCAAAACTAGACCCAAAACTATAAAACTACTAGAAGAAAATGCTGGGAAAATGCTTCGGGACACTGATCCAGGCAAAGATATTATGGATAAGACTTCAAAAGCACAAGAAGCAAACAAAAAGGCAACAAAAGCAAAAAGAGACCAATGGGATTATATCAAACTAAACTCCTTCACAGCAAAGGAAACAATAGAATGAAAACACAACTTTTAGAATGGGATAAAATATTTGCAAACTGTCTTACAAGGGATTCATATCTAGCATATACAAGGAACTCAACAGTAAAAACAAAAATGATTTAAAAATGAGGGAAGGATCTGAATGGACATTTCTCAAAAGAAGGCACACAAATGGCCATCAAGTATATGAAAAATGCTCAGCATCACTAATCATCAGGGAAATGCAAACCAAAACCACAGTGAGATAACATCTCATCTTAGTTAGACTGGCTATTATCAAAAAGACAAAAAATAACATGCTGGTGAGGATTCAGAGAAAAGATAATTCTTATATGTTGCTGGTGGGAATTTAAATTATAGTTGCTAAGCGAAACTATCAAGATTCCTCCAAGAACTAAAAATAAAACTACCATATGATCCAGTAATCCCACTACTGGGTATTTATCCGAAGGAATATAAATCATTATATCAAAGTAGTGTTAATATCTGCACTCCCATGTTTGTTGCAGCACTATTCACAATAGCCAAGATGTAGAATCAACCTAAGTGTCCACCAGTAGATGAATGGATAATGAAAATGTGGTAAATATACGCGATGGAATACTATTCGTCATAAAAAAGGATGAAATCCTGTCATTTGTGGCAACATGGATGAGACTGGAGGACATTATGTAAAGTGAAATAAGTCAGGTATAGAAAAGTAAATACTGCATGTTCTCATATCCACAATAAGTAATAGCTTAAAAAGTTGAGCTCATAAAGGCAGAAAGTAGAATTGTGGGTATTAGAGGCTGGGAAGGGTAGGGGAAAGGTGAGGATAGGGAGTGGTTAGGTTAACAGGTACAAAGTTATAGCAGGAATAAGTTCTCCTGTTCTATAGTACTATAGGGTGACTATGATTAATAACTTCTTGTATATTTTCAAATAGCTGTAAGAGAGGATTTTTGAATGTTACCAACGTACATAAAAAAATGATGAATGTTTGAGGTGAACAGATACTCTGATTACCCTGATCGATCATTACACATTGTATACATGTATGGAAATATCACTGTCTCATAAATAAGTACAATTATGTGTCAATTAAAATTTTAAAAAAATTTTTTAAGAACACGGAAACTTAGGTGTAGGTGTAGTGACACATAACCTATAGTCCCAGCTCCTTGAGAGTCTAAGGTGGTAGGATCTCTTGAGGTCAAGAGTTTGTGGCCAGCCTGAGCTGGAATATGGAATCCTGAAAATGAGGAACCAAAGAAATAAGCATTTTCTGTATTTAACCAGCACTTAGTCAGAATAAGATTAGTATTACTAGAGTGATACATATTCTCTTGTGAGGTGGGAAAGGGTTTTCTGGTTCTTCTATCACTTAAATGATTACCAAACTCTTAGATGATTCTTGAAGTCCCTCAAGAAAACTTGTGATTTCTAACTATATATATTTTTTCTATACCACATGAAAAAATTGGGGATGTTAAGTAATTGCTCACCTATTTTGAACTTTCACATCTTTTAAAAGATAATAATTCTTTCATGCTAGGTTTTGGATATAGAGTAAATTCTTTTGGTGTACTTGATAACTAACTCTTTTAACTTAAAAAAAACTGTTCTTTTGTCTTCTGTCCTACACCTGAAAGTCTGTTCAAAAGAGTTAAAAATTGGATAAAATGAGTTTGACTTTGGGCCTTGTGTAATACAACAGAGAAGAAAACTAAAGATCACATGTTTTGAAATTCCAGTTTCTTTTCACTGTCATTTCTTCAGAAAGGTTTCTCTATCCCAGCCAGGCATGGTGGCTCACAACTGTAATCCCAGCACTTTGGGACGCCAAGGGGGATGGATCACCTGAGGTCAGGAGTTTGAGACCAGCCTGACCAACATAGTGAAACCTGTCTCTACTAAAGATAACAAAAGTTAATCAGGCTTGGGGGTGTGTGCCTGTAATGCCAGCTACTTGGGAGGCTGAGGCAGGAGAATTGCTTGAACTTGGGAGGCAGAGGTTGCAGTGAGCTGAGATCATGCCACTGCATTCCAGCCTGGGTGAAAGAGCAAAACTCCATCTCCAAAAAAAAAAAAAAAAGATTTTCTTCATTCCTTTTGTCTAAATTAAGTATCATTTGTTTGTTTTTTGAGACAGAGTCTCACTCTGTTACCTACCCTGGAGGGCAGTGGTGTGATCATAGCAGCCTTCAACTCCTGGTCTCAGACTATCCTCCCACTTCAGCCTCTCAAGTAACTGAAACTACACATGTGCACCACCACACCCATCTTTTTTTTTTTTTTTTTTTTTTTTTTTTGGTCTTTTTTTGTTTTAAAAGACTGTCTCCCTCTGTTGCCCAGGCTGGTCTTGAACTCCTGGGCTTAAGGCCTACCTTGGCCTCCCAAAATGCTGGGATTACAGGCTTGAGCCACTGCACTAAGTTTGTTACCCTTTCTCATAGCACTTTATTCTCTTTCAGATCAGTCATTATAATTATTTCAAATTATTCATATACAGTATATTATTTCGGTATTCATTTTGTTTAATTTCTCTACCTGTAACTAGACTGTAACTCCATACACAGGAACCATGTTGGTTTTCTACATTACTGTATTTTAAAGTCCTAGTGTAGTGATACTTAGCTTTCAGTAAAGACTTTGAGTAAGTGGGTGAGTGAATGAATGAATGAATGGTGACTGCTTTTAGTATTTTGTAGAAGTGCAGGATGCTATCAATTAAGCAGCCTTTGTCTAGCATGAGGATGAGGAAAGTGTTTCTTAGAGGACTTGAAAATGAGTAAGAAGGGGGTATGGTATTCAGTATCCAGTTTTCCTTAGAGGACAAGTAGGATGAATATAGAAAATTTTCCTGTGAATTTAGAAATGTGGAAGTTATATTCATGACCTTACTGGGGTCAATTTTAATAGAGTGAAAGAATGCAATTCAGATTCCATTTGCTCGTGAAATGAATTAGCGAGAAAACAGAGCAAGGAACTTTTCCCAGAAAAGTAGATCTCAGACACTTATTGCTAGCTTATTTATTTGTTTGTTCATAGGGGAGTATGATAAAATGAACTATTACTATGCTTTAAATATTTTCACTGTTACACAAAGAACAAAAGTGCACAAAAACACTACCGTAGTAGAGGCTACCAGGAGGACCTGGTTAGTTGTCGTCTACGAGTTTAGCTGCCACATTTATCTTTCACATTGAAATATTGAATGTATAAGAAAGAAATGTACTTTAGATTGTAAGAAATGAACTTTAGACTGTAAGAAAGAAAATGTACTTTAGATTGGTTTATAGCTTCCACCTAAATCATTAGTCTTCTTATTTTGCAAGAAATTAGAGTACTGAGGAAATCATGGTAGATTATTCACAATACACCAGAAGCCCTGGCTGCCTCTTTTCCATATCCTTTTTGTAAAGTGTCTTAATTTCTGTGAATTTTGTCTCTTATTTATTTTTTGTTTAACTTTCAGGTGTTGGTAAATCATGCTTATTGCTACAGTTTACAGACAAGAGGTTTCAGCCAGTGCATGACCTTACTATTGGTAAGTTTTATAAAAGGGATGAGAAGCATTAAAAGTTTTGGGTAGTTTAAATGGAAAATGCTAGAAGGTCCAGTCTACTAGTGATGATGCTAAAATCTGTGAAACTGGATTTGTTGTTATGCAGTTTTGTCTCTGTGACTTTTTAAAAATATGTGTAGTAAAAATAAATATTACCCAGCTTTGTAGAACTGGTTAGCATGCTGAAAGACAGTAGTTTTTAAGATTTCAATTGTAATTAACGATGAAACAATTAAGAGACAGTATCCAAGCAAGGTAAGAGCAGAAACTTTGACTCAGCTTGCTGGAAGTTGAATCAAGTCTCTGCTACTAACTTGCTATGCAAGTCACTTCCCTGTTTCATGTCTCAGTTTCTCTTTCTGTTCAATGAGAATAGTAGTAGTACCAATCACATGAAGTTACTGTGAGCAGTGAGTTAGTAAATGTAAAGCATTAAAGTGCCTGGCAATGTGAAAGTGCTTTAGACTTTCCTATAATTATCAACTGAGAAAAAGTACCACTAGGCATTTCGTATTTTCCTCAGTTATAAAGAGTAAATGAAATAGTTACTGGTAAGAAATAGTCAACAAATATTAGCTGTTATTATTTAAAATAATGATTTTCCATTTTATTAATATGCAAAGGAAAAAGTTAAGATGAGTGAAAAGCTAAAAACTTTAGGTAATCTTACTATTTAGGATTTTTATTTGTTTAAAAATTATATTTTATATTCTGAAAGCTGAAGAATCTAGCTGGATTATTCTTTTGTGGCTGTAGCCCATTAACTGTAAATTAGTCAAATATGAAGAAACAGATCATTGGAAATCTAGTCATTCTTTACAACGAACTGCTTAATGAATCTTTTTAGCTACTGACTGCTCATTTTCTGTTGACATTATTAATTTACCATTTATAGCATGTTGATCCTTATGTTCTGTGTGTTTTTAAAATACCAAATCAAAGATAGAGCTCATGAATAACATTATTAACTAATAGTTTTCAACTAAGCTACAGGTATAATACTTTGTGGATATATTGAAATCTTTTGTTAGCAACTACTGTCATTAAGACTATCCATATTCTATTTTAATTTTGATAGTTTTAAGTGTATACAATAATGATGGGTGAAACAGGTAACTCATGCTGGTCCTAATAACTGTAACATTTTGTTTTATTTTTTGAGACAGGGTCTCATTTTGTAGACTAGGCTGGAGTGCAGTGATGCAATCACAGCTCACTGCAGCCCCCAGATCCCTGGCTCCAGTGATGTTCCCACCTCAACCTCCCAGGTAGCTAGGACTACAGGCATGCTCTACCACGCCTGGCTAATTTTTCGTGTTTTGGTAGAGTCAGGGTTTTGCCTTGTTGCCCAAGCTGGTTTCAAACTCCTGGGCTCAGGCAATCTGCCAGCCTCAGCCTCCCAAAGTGCTGGGATTACAGGTGTGAGCCACTGCACTGGCCTGTTTAATGAACTCTCTTCCCCACCTCCTGTAGAGGCAAATTTGCTCTTTGCTTAATAAGTTTGAAACTAGCCAACTTTAGGCATGACTCAGTTCTAAGATAACTAGCAAAACAGTTGTTTTTAGTATAGGATACTAAACAACAGTGTTCTTCCTTTTCTTTGACTCTTATGTATAAAGTTCTAAGTTAGTATGGCACACCAAGTGGAGAAGATGGACCTGAGCCTGTTGTCAGAAGTTAACATAGGCCAAGCTTGTCCAACCCATGACCTGCATGTAGCCCAGGACAGTTTTGAATGAGGCCCAACACAGATTCATATATTTTCTTAAAACACTATAAGATTTTTTTGCTTTTTTTTTTTTTTGGCTCATCACCTGTCAGTGTTAGTATATTTTATGTGTGGCCCAAGACAGTTATTCTTCTTCCAGTGTTGCCCAGAGAAGCCAGAAGATTGGACACCTCTGCCATAGGCTGTACTTGTGGGGAGAGATAAAGGAGTAGACCCGAGAGTTGTTTGGGAAACTATAACTCGTATAAACTGCCAGCTGGCTTCACACTAGGTTTGCTAATGGCAGGCACCAGGAAATAGGAGGCTGAAAGAGAAGAAAAACCAAGGATCTTTTTCTCCTTGGGTTGACTGTGTGTTCTCCATTCCTCTGGCTCCAGCCCCTGCCTGGCAGGCCCAAGTGGTCTGGTTCCTGAGCTCTGATAACCTTTTTCCCTCTTGTCTTTCTAGCCTAGGGGTGGTAGCAGCTTCCTGCTGTTTGTAATCTCTGGGCTTATTCCCCATCTCTTCTTTGGGTTTTTGGGGGCTCTTTGTTTACTATAACCAAGTCCCTACATTAAATTCCCTATACCCTATGTACTTAAAGTGTAGTTTCTGTTTTTCTGATTGCACTGACTGGCATACCATTTTTTTTCTAACTTTTACAGTTGGTTGTAAATGACAAAAATTTACCTAGATGGGTTTAAACAAAAGGGCAATTTATTATTTTAATATTCAGGTATGTCTCAACATGAGGGCAGGGAGCCAGCTGGGTCAGCCTGGAACCAGAGCTCAGAGCTTTTAAGGAGGGAACACAGGAAATTCTGTTTCGCAGTCTTCCATCCTTCCCTCATTGTCTCCCATTCTCTTCTCATGCCGGTTTAATTTTTCTCTCTCCCTTTTGACCATTGTTTTTGATTTCCCTATCTCCATGATGGGAAATGGCCATTGTCAATAGCTCCAAAGTTCATATACCATTCAGGAGAGCAGAGATTCTCTTTAACTCAGTTCTAAGTTTCCTAGGCAAGAGAGTTCATTGGTTCAATTTGGTTCAGGCCCACTTATCTCTTGTTCTGTCCACTCTCTTCATGGGCCCAGAATCACTTTTATACAACATGGTTTCCAAATTGGTAGTCGTAGGAGCAATCTGGGTGAGTAGTCATACATAGCCACCACCAGAATACCCTCACACCTAGCTATTCTAGCTAGTCACCATGTCCTTATCTTTTGTCCCCTGTAATGATCAATTCTCTACTCTGTTTATAAACCATTGACTCCTGAGCTCATGATTCTTCTCAGTCTGCCTCTCTTGCTTTCTCTCCTACTTTTCTCTAACACGTGTAGACACTATGTGCCATCAAGTCTTTGCTGCTTGCTCCTGCCTGAACACTTAGTACTTTTTCATACCCTCAGTCTTTCTCTTCTCAGAGGATGCCATTGCTTGACATATTTGCTTATTACAGTTCTTTTCTGAACAACTGTCCATATCCCAAACTATAGCTCCCATTTAAAGGAAGTAAGATTTATATACCCACACTTATGGAGAAACATTGTTAACAGGAAAGGAACAACTACTGTATAGGCACAGTTTCAATATAATGCTCAGCACCAATATGGATTCCTAGTAGCTCATGCGTTAGAAATTCATTATTCATAATCAGGATCAGTCCTCCTAAAAAGGCAAAGTAAATTTTATGGAGGATGTATGTAGGAAGTCCCGTCTTTTTACCTGCTGTGTGTTAAGGGAAATTACACCCCGTACACATTCATAAAATGGATTGTTTTTTGTTGGGGTCATAGTCCAACCATGGCTTTAGCAACAGTCTGTTATTACAGAACGAAGATGGTAGCTATCATGAACTATTTTTTTAAGTTGAAATCTTATTTTAGATCCTATAAAGTGAACATAAATGTACTCTATACATTCACTCTGCAGGGTCTCAATATTTAAGATGTTTCAGGATATTTGAGGTAATGATACTTTAAAAAATTATCTGAAGCAAACAGAACATTTAGGATCATAAAACTGTTCTCAGAATGCTGATAGGTGCTTAATGTTCGTTGTTGATAATGATAATTACATTGTTTTCACTGAAAGTCATTTTTTAAAGTAAAAGCCAACTCTGGAAGAGGAAGAGTAAAGGGGTGCTTCTTGCCACTACAACTTATGTATAGTTGCATACATACATTAAAAGGGTATTCAGTACCACCATTCCTTCAGTCAAGCTAAATACAGGCCAGTAGAAGCAGTATTGTTAAGACATGTTTTTGCCTTCATTGGCCCAAGACCTCCTTAACATTTTTGACACCCATCACAGCAATATATTTTTCAGACATAAAAAAAGTTAGCAGTTATTGTCACATATTTTTAAAAAGAACATTAGAATTTTTGGTAAAATAAGTAGTAAGACAGTATCTTTACTCTGCTGCATACTTGCCTTTGCTGGATGAATAAATGAGGGTGGAAAAATTTAAGGTTGGTTTGTGACTAAGAAGGTATTAAATGATAGAAAAGAGAAAATAAAAGACCATGAAAGTTTTTAAAAGGCTGTGTACAAATATTCTTTAACCTTTGACTCTCTCAGTGAGAATTGTTAAGAAATGAATCATAGAAGCAGTTTATAAATAGCTTCATGGACACAATTCAGAAGGTTCAGACTAGAGCCTTGCTCCTCAAAAGATGGTTCGTGTGCTGTTGCGCTGGACCAGCAGCAGCGTCAGTATCGTGTGGGAGCTTGTTAAAGAACTTACTGAATCATAATTTGCATTTTAACAGGATCTCCAAGTGATTCATATGGGCACTGAAGGTTAAAAAACATTGGAGAAATGACTTTTAAATATTGATTACCCAGCTGGAAATACATTTTATGTTCTTTGCCTGGTGCACACATCCTAGCCTCTCAGTGGCTTTATTTTTCTCCCCCTGTCCCCAGTGATCTTGGTTCCACCCTGCTTCAGCTACTCCCTCCCATAGTTACTCTCAGGACTCATCATTACCAGTATCTGGAACCACTTCAGAATTTAGTTTCATGCATTGACTATTTGACTTTCTATCCTGTCCTTCCTGCTCACTTTCTTTAGTCCCTAATGCTAACAATATTTTCACCTCATCAAAATTATGCCATTGATTCTACCATCTTTTCACTCTCATCTCTCTTGTGTTCCTACTTTCCTCCTTAATCATTCCTGCATATACCCACAGTTTTCTTGTCCCTCTCATGCTGTATCATAGTCTTGTGGCTAAACCATAGGTTAAATCCAATCATCTATTCCTAAC